GCTTCCGCCGCTTTGGCGGTGGCGGCGGCTACGGCGGCGGCTACGGCGGCGCCGCCCGATTCCGCTCCCCCGGCCTGGGCGGCCCCGGCTTTGTGCGTGGCGGCACCATCGTGCCCAGCGGTGCGGGATTCGAGCTGCAGCCCACCCCGGGCTCTGTGGCGGCGAGGGTGAGGGGTGGTGGTGGTGGTGGTGGTCCTTCTGCGGCTGCTGGTGCTCTTGCTGCGGCTGCTTGGCTGCCTTTTTTTGCCTCTTTCCTTTGTGCTATCTTTTCTTTGGCTCTCTGCGGGGTCCGTGGTGGTGTCCACGCTGCCCTCGTGCCGCGCCCGCCTGGCTGCTGCCAGCGCCGCCCGCCACCGCTGCCGCTCATGCGGCACCTCCCTGCGGCCTACGCGGCGCCTCGCGCTGCCGCCGCCGCCGCCTGGCAGTCTGCCGGGCTGTGGCTTGGCCTGTCATGCCGCTGGCGTGGCCTGCGCCCCCCGCCTCGTGCCGACCACCACCCACACTCTGTCCCACCGCCCCTGCCGCGCCTTGCCCACACACCCACGCGCATCTTGGCCCCGCCGCCGGCTCCCAGCCACAAAAAACAACGACTCCAGCTTGCTGCTTTCAGCTGAAGAAACATATTCAATGGTTTTGCAAAACCCAATCCGTATTCAAGGTTGCCTGCTGCTGTGCCCCACCTCTCCTCCACCTCCCTCCCTCCACCCACACATGCAGGGGCGGTACGGCGCTGTCTCCATCTGCCCCTCCGAGCCGCAGTACCGCCCGCCCTCCCTGCAGCAGCAGCTGAGCACCTTCCACGCAGCTTCCCTGCCCAACGCCGACAAGCAGTTCACGTCCTCGGGCGCGGTACGGTCGGGGCCGCGGCAGCCGGCGCCGGCACCCGGCGCGATCAGGGCAGGCCCCGCCGACGGCGCTGCCGCGGCGGCTGCGGCAGAGGCGGCAACGGGGCCCGGCCCGCGTGCCAGCAGCGGCCCTGTTGTCGACGACGGCGACGGTGGCACCCCCCGCGGCCTCGGCTGGGGCGGCGGGGCTGCTGCAGCAGCGGCGGGGCCTGCCTCTGGAGCGGGTGCCGGCGGCCTGGCGGGCCGATGGCAGCCGCGAGAGTATCAGCCGCCGCCGGCGGAGGAGCGGCAGCCGGCGTCTGCGCAGCAGCAGCAGGCGGGGCCCCGGCTGCCGCCGCCTCGTGGCGGCGGCGGCGATGCTCGAGGCGGGGACCGGAGCCTCAGGAGAGGAGGGCGCCGCAGCCGCAGCCGCAGCCGCAGCCGCAGCAGGAAGCGGCGGCGTGACCGGCGCAGCCGCAGCCGCAGCCGCGACGTGCGCAGCAGAGAGCGAGCGTGCAGCCGTCGCAGCCGCAGCCGCAGCAGGAGGCGTAGCGATGGGCAGCGGGAGAGCCCGCGCCGCAGCGTGCACGGCAGCCGCGATCACAGACAGAAAGGTCGTGGGGAGGGCGAGGAGGAGGAGGAGCGGGAGCTCCGGCGGCACAGCCGGCGCCACAGCGAGCACCACCACCGCCACAGGCGTGAGCCGGGGAGCGAGGGCGAGCGTGACGGCGGCAGCAGGCGGCGGCGTGAGGAGCAGGGCGACGGCGGGGGCGGTGCGCCCGGCGACGACTGAAATTGCAGCTCAGATGGATGGACTGCTATTGCTTGCTGCACGCCTTGCAATCGAGTCGAGTCGACTTGCTGGCGCATATCGCGCCCAGAGCAGAGGACGGGGGCTGGCGTCGGGAGGCGGCAGGCAGGGAAGGCGCAGCCATCGGCTCTCTGTGCTCGTCCCTGCTCTGCTGCTGGAAGTCACTGCTGCAGCGCAAAAAGCCGAGGCTGGCGCCATTCGTGTTTGATTTGCTCCTCCGTCGGCGATTGGCGGCATGCTGCGCCCGCTGCGCTGCGCCGGCGGTCCATGCATCTTCCCCAGCACGCCGATCGGAAGCCTGCTTTCCGTCAGAGCATTGCGCCATGGCAGCCATCCTCATCACCGGCGGGACGGGCTACTTTGGCCAGTTTTGTGTCGAGTTTTTCGCTGCGTCGGGATGCCAGGTGCGGTGTTTCGGCGCTGCGGGCTGCAGATCGCCTCAGAGGCATGCTCCAATCGCCCAAAGCCGGGGCCGACACCGGCGCCTGACTCATCCCCGCAGGTCGGCTACACGCACTGGTCTAGCGGCCCCCAGCGGCACTGTGGCAAGGTCCTACCCTTCAAGGTGCGAGGATGCCGGATCGGGCGGCCTGATGGACGCGCTGAACGCCCCGGCCGCCGCCACCGCCTGCCGCCGCCGCCGCCGCCTGCCCTTGTGACCCCAGCTGCCCCACCCTGCGCACCTCCCCCTTCGCATTCGCTGCAGGTCAACCTGGCCAAGGGGGAGGGCCTGGAGGCGTGCCTGCAGGGGCTGACACGCGGCGGCGCGCTGCGCCTGGTGGCCGTCATCAACGCCGCCGCCATATCGCAGCCCGCGGCGTGTGAGCGCGACGAGGCGGCGGCGGCCGCCGTCAACGTGCCCACCCACCTGCTGGCGGCGCTGGCGTGGCACAGGCAGCAGCATGGCGCGGAGCCGCTGCTCATACACATGTCGACAGACCAGGTGGCGGGGTGTGGTGTGGTGTGGTGGGGTGGGGTGG